GTCAAGGTTTCACTGCTACAACAAAAGTAAGGTTTCTCCCACACTTCTAAAAACAAACTCTCTTTTCTTGGAAAAGCACAGTTTCCTTTTACTTGCCCTTCTGCTAAAGAGGACAAGCCACTGACTTTGCCTTTTTTTAATTAATGGGGGCTCAAGCATTAGGCTTACTTTTGAAAACAAAGAATTATTCTGTCATTTCTGAGCACAAATAATACAATACACAATATCAGCATAAGGGTCCATAAAGGAAGGGAAGATATACAGGCATGGATGGATTTTCTTTTCTGTTTGGTCTCAGGACCAATCAGAGTTGGCTACCAGATATCATTTTATTGATGTGATCATTTCAACAGGCAAACACGCTTAGAGTCCAAAAAGCTAGTGAAATCTGATTCTTGTATATAATACTGGACAACATACATTTTGGTACTTCAAATGTCAGCCCTATTTCTGGGTATATTTGACCTACTGATTCAAAAAATGGCATCAATTTTCCCCTATCAGCTCTGGTTTTTGAGATACAGAACATATGCCATCTATCAGTTCCCATTTGCTCACCCATAGAAGACAGTGATAACCATATCTAAGAAACTAGACTGATGCAGTCTATCCAATGCAGATTTCTGAATCAGCTCCCCAAATAATCCCAGGAACAGGTCTAAATCCAAGACAGCAAGAACATAATTTGCAGGGGGGGGGGGGGTGTTATGGTTTTATGACCTGGATCTATTCCTCCAGAATAACCTATTACATTCCCTCCAGAACAATGGTTCTCAATCTTTGATCTATTAGATATTTTAAAGGAAGCAAAAACTGAGGAGCACCCATTATTAACAGCAAAAACTAAATGAAACAGGAGATACTCAATGAAAAGACCAAGTAAAATTCCAAAACACCCCTGAAAAGGGCCTTTGAGAGCACATACAGACCAAAATTCATTTGGGTTTTTGATTAATAATTTATCTATCCGATGTTTTGGATTTCAGCTTCCAGAAACTCCATTTATGTAGATGGTAGTCAAATGTTTTGTGAACTGGACCTCAAGTTGGACATACAAAGAGCCAAAGGTTGAGGAATAACCAAGTCCATTCTATCTGTGCTTCTCCTGCCCACTCCCCATTTGTTTGGATGAGAAAGAGACAGAAATGTATTTTTGAAATCAAACTGTATTAAAGTCTAATGTGGTACCAGCATCTGAGCATGGGTTTGCTTCTTCAAACAAAACAAAAACAAAACCCACCAACATGTGGGAAACCACCTCAAGTGTCAACTGTGATAGGAAATGCAAAATGACGAAGTTTTCATAAACACATCAGCCTTTATTGCAATGAAATCTTCAAAAAAAGGGAGGAAGGAAGCACTCACTTGGCACTTAGCCATTTCAGCTAAACTTTCCTGTGGCCTTTTCATTGATCAAGACAAGATGATTACATCCCCACTTCTCCAGCAAATCTGGAGGGTAGGGTTAGAAACCAGACACCTCCAATATGGTTCCTGGGGAGATAGGCTTCCTAGGGTACAGTAGATATTTTGGAGAGATGTTATCTTGAACAGGAGCCCCTGGTGGTGCAGTAGGTTAAACCACTGAGCTGCTGAACTTTCTGATTGAAAGGTTGCAGGTTTGAATACGGGGAGTAGTGGTAGCTCCCTCTGTTAGCCCCAGCTTCTGCCAACCTAGCAGTTTGAAAGCATGTAAATATGAGATCAAAAGGTATTGCTCTGGCAGGAAGGTAATGGCACTTCATGCAGTCATGCTGGCCACATGATCTTGGAAGTGTCTATGGAGAAAACCAGCTCTTTGGTATAGAAATGGAGATGAGCACCAACCCCAGAGTCGGACACGACTGGACTTAATGTCAGGGGGAAAGCTTTGCCTTTACCTATCTTGAACAAGATTTTCAAAATTATTTTTAAAAGAGCATTGGCAATCACTGAACTGCATTTCCTTAAATGGGGTCTTTAGCCCACCCCATGATCTTGGCCAGTCTTGCAAATAGAAGCATTTACTCCTAAAATGCACTTTTCCTGTGCTGTGCATCCTCCTATGTTCTTTGAGATAAGCCTTTGCCAGGCCTCACAACAAGGGATATAAAGTTTCAAAGTTTATTGTGATGGGTGCTTTACAGAAGATTGTACATTGGAACTGCATTGCTACAAACAAAAGGAAGCCTTCTACCTAAGATGTAGCAAGGTAGGCATATGAGTAAGGTGCTACTAAAGAGAAGCTATCTAGAGAAGATACACATAAGCAAACATGTCTGTCAGGCAACCACAGTTTTAGGACAAGACAATCCCTGCGGAAAGTTTTTACGGATCTAGAAAGTTGTCCTGCATGAACAAATAATGTTATTATGTGCCAAGGGCTATACATAGACATGCCCTTAGGGCAGATAATTCTTCAGGTCTTGTTTTCCATAAATATTAGTGATAGGGAAGGTTTCTCTCTATGTGTATCTCATTCCCTCTCCCTGCTATGCACTATGGAAATACTTTATCTAAAGAAAAGTGCTCCAGAGCACCTTTTTTACCCTGACATAGCACCCTTTTTGAGCAACAAGGGCTGGAATATCTCCAAAATATCAAGTACTTCTTCCTTGGCGACCAGAGTAGCCTTATCCCCTATACAAACAAAGATTGATAAGAGCAGTCTCTGAATACAGTATCCTTCCTCCTCAAAATAAACAAACAAATAAAAAACAAATAAAGCTTGTTTAAAGGAGTTAAGTTGTTACACTTCTATTAAAGATGCTATCTTTTTTTTAAAAAAGCTAAATATTTCACTTTATGTGCTTGGCCTCGACTCTCACCCCATCCTCCCTTTGCATGCCTGGCTGGCTGACAAGACTCTCAGATAAATAACAGCAGCACTGTTCACTTTCCAATTCCTGAACTCCTTTTCCAAGCCATCTGAGGAGCCCCACTGCTTAAAGAATTCCTCCTTCCTGCTGGCAGCTTCCCCATCTCCTTTTCCTTCTAGTCCAAGGCCCTGTGCAGCATTTAAATGACACTTCCTGTCCTTATTCAAAACTCCAGTTCTTCATACCCTCTACTGCTATCAATAGAAGGAATGGAAACCGACCATGATACACCTATGGAAGGTCACAGTTTACATTCTAATTCATATCACTTTCCACAATGCTGTGTTTCTGAACATGCTCTAACTTTTGTCCTTTTATACTGGAAACTGTAAGATATACAGCACTGTGAATTCTTATTGTATCACACATTGTACTAATCTTTATTTATTTATTTATATTTCTACCCTGCCTTTCTCAAACCCGAAGGTGACTGAAGGTGGCTTACAATCAGGTAGCCATGTGATGCCTCAACAATATACAATTAAAACCACATTTACATCCACATTTCTAGGTATTTGAGGGCAGGCTGAACTACCAACTTTACATTCTTTGATATTAACTACTTCATTTTATGGCCTTCTACTCCGCCTATGGTTTCTCAAAGCTATATATCTATCCACATAATAAAAGTGAAAATATGTATGTGTGTATGTGGTGGGAGTGTCGACTTACACAGACAAGCTCCTGCCTTGTCTCCCTCAGCTATGAGGAGCCACCAATGGCCTTCCCTACAATGACATTGCAGGTTATAGTTTCTTCCATCACAGGCATCCCAGTGTTTCTTACTCTCTCCATTGGTGTGGAATTTGCATGATGCCACCCACTGCCTCTCCCATAACTCTTTCTTATTCTACTCTAAGACACACAGCAAACAGAGGAATTGATCAGCAACTGAACAAACTAGAGAGGGTTGGGGAGAATTCACCATGATCTACAGGAGTTGTAGATCCTAGGTTGTATGGTTCACCTGCAATCTAAGAGCACTCTGAACTCCACCAACAATGGATCTGGACCAAACTTGGCAAACAGAACCCCCACGACCAACTCAACCTACTGGAGGGGTTTGCAGGGACTGACTCACCATAGTGGGAGTTATAGTTTACCCTACAACCAGAGATCACACCGAACCCCATCGATGATACTTCCGGAACAAACTTGCCCAACATAACAAACTTTAAGTACTGATTGAGTTTCTCAGGGTTAGCCTGGCATGATGTGAGTTTTGAACAATTTTAAAAATGACTTTTTCAAATAACCTGGGCAATGCTGGGACTCAAGCTAGTAAACCTATAAAAAAGATAACATTACAATATCTGCAGCAAGAAATACAAAAATGCAATGCTCATGGCAGGGATTCTTTGGGGGCGGCCCACCTGGGTTGCTGAGACACTTGACAAAGTTAGGTAGCTCCATAAATCATAGCTGAACCTATAAAGCCACCTCATGCTAAGTCACATCACTCATTCATCCACTGGCTAACCCAGTCCAATACTATATTTTCTGTCAGCAGCATATCATGTTCCTTAACACAGGTCCTTCTCAATCTTGTACAGCCCTTTTTAATTGAAGTTATAATGCAGACTAAAATTTCTTTATGCAAATATGTGATCTACTCAATGGTACACCATACAAAAACCTCAGGGTAGAAATTGTGAGTATTTGCCCTGCCACTATCCTCACAGCAATCTTATTGCTTGAAAGATGGGGAGGGGGAGGAATAAGTGCTGGAAGGGGGAACAAACAGCATGTTCTTTTGAGGCGTGTGTGATTATGTTTTGCCTAGAAGTCTATGAGCGCTTGGGCAGTATTACTCATCATGTGTTTCCAAGATGAATTTTAAGTCCAGGAATGGAAGAAGGAAAATGAATATGCATATAAAGTACGCAAAGCCTTGTTCCACAGGAGCAACAGATAAATCTAAATTCAACATTATTTAAGAGTTTGCATTGGCTTCTTCTCAGCTCTACCCAGAAAGTCAAGAGTAGTTTTTTTAAATGGATTTGAATTTACTGCAATCTTTTATATTGCAAATCATTCTGAAATAGGTAACAGAGGAATGAAACTCGGAGTTTTGCTTTTTCTTTTTTTTTTTTTTAAAGCAATCCATATGAATAATGCAGAGTAAGGACAAGGGGGACTCACGGTTTGCTCCCGTGTTTCTTTCTTGAATGTCACCTCAGATTCCTTAGGAGAAGAAACTCCTGACCCCAATAATGGCATCTGCAATAGCCCTACTGCCATTAGGAAACACCATGCGTGACCTGCGAGCAAATAGGAGTGGCCCAGCCTTCTTCTCCTGCCCCCCACCTCCACCAGAGAGCAGAAAAGGAAAGTGACATCATTGTGTTTGCGCAGGAGGCAGAGGGAAAATACTGCTGCTAAGACACTTAGCTGTACCATACCCTTAGATATATAGTGCGGGAACAGCAGGAGAGAGAGGGAGAGAGAGAAGAGGGAGTAAAATTACTTGTCTTACTTTGCCAGGTACAGCGATAGTATATACAACAGTTTTAGTGATGTGCCAGGACATTATTTTTCAGCCGGCGATATACTTTCACAAACCAAAGTGTGCTGTGTCATAAGAGGGAAAAAAATCAGGTTGTATTTACTTTAGCTGTGCCTGTGCCGTCCTTCCCATCTTCTTACTGACATTGTGGGTGTGTGCCTCTGGGTGTGCGGCTATGTGTGTGTGTGTGCACGCGTATGCATACAATCCTGGCTGCTCCTGTTTCATTTCAAAGACTACTCTGAAAATGGAGCTCACATACCAGGGCCATATAAAGACACCCTGCATGACTGCTATGAAAACCTACCTGCCAAGACTCTGGAGGGAGATTTAGGAGGGGAGAAGGAGGAGACGGAGGAGGACACCATGGAAACCGACATTTCCATCCCACTCCTCACCACATGACTCTTCAATTGGGCCAATTTGTTTCCCTGGCTGTCAGCCAATCCAAGCAGGGTTTTGTGAGCCAAAGTGACCTAACGCATGGCAGAAAACAACAAGGTGTGCAAACCTCTTCAGGATCCCTTCATCTCTGTGCTTGGACAAGCAACCATCTCTCAAGCACTTTGGAAGTAAAACCATCAATGCTGGGATTATACAATTGCTACTCCAGATTTTTTTTTTTGCAACATCCTTAACTAATAACATGAGAAAAGAGGTTCCACCCTGCATTTGAAAGCCGACCACTCCCATTCACAGAGTCAAGAGGCTCTCATCCCACCCATGACAAGAGGCATTTTTCATCTCAGGCCATTGGCACCGCTAACCAACTCTGTCCTCCAGTAGAAAAAAGGAATGGAGGGGATCTAGGTGGATTTAAAGTGTGACGTTGGCTTGATTGGCACACGTCTGGCGTAACAGAAGACAGGCATGCTTTTTATGTAAATACAAATGTCCCCCCCCCCCCATCAGCTCTGTAATGTTAGGAGGGAGAGAGAAAGAAACACACACAGCTCGACATGAAAGAAACTATTCACAGCACTACTTTTAAATAGCTGGGAGCAGAACCCAGTGGTGAAAACTGCCAACGTGAACCAATGCTTGTGTGTTTAACCAGATTACGCATTCCACTGTACTTACAAATGTAGAGACCAAGGCTTTTAAATCATCTGCATTTCCTCAATTGTTATTAAAATATGCATAACGACATGGGTTTTGTCTGTCGGAGCAAAAGAGTGCAGAAATATCGCCAGAAACCATCACATCCAGTGAGTTTATTTAAACTCTCAATTATGCATTCGGCTGCCTTTCCTCCCATCTTGACAAAGTTTTGGAGAAGTTCTGAGACAGCCAGCCACATAAGAATGGGTTCTTTCTCCCATATATGTAAACTTGCTGCAATTATGGCAGCTCCTGACACCCAGGTCAGGACTCTCACATTACCCGCAAGCTCATGTGGAGGCAAGCTGCAGCTCTCAAATATTCATTAGGACTGGTCGAAATGCAAACTTCTCTCTTTGTCAACTCCGGCTAGATCCACCTTAATGGAAGGGAAGGAGGGAGGGGGAAGGGAGGGTGGAGGCAATGCTAGCCACAAACCCGCTCTGCCCTCCCCTCCCCCTGCCTCCCCCTCCCTTGCATGAACTATGTACTGTGGCCAAGTGACAGGTCCATGTCATGACTAGCCGAACAATAACAATTGTCGCACAAGGAACACCGTTCACACACAAGGGCCTTTACAGCCTTAACCCTTTGCAGAAAGAGAGTCAGAGAGAGAGATTGGGAAAGAGAGAGGACAGAGGGGAGTGACAAACTAGTGCAGCACCAAGTCCCAATTGAACCTGCTGTCTCCACTTCCCTCTCCCCACCCCCACATTGGAGACAATATCTACAATACCACATTGACTTTGTCCAAAAAAGGCTTTCCTAAAGCATGCTAGGTTTTAAAAAATTCCCTTTTCCCCCTTCCCAGTAAAAACAAAACAAAACCATGCCCGCAATACAGCTGAAGTACTTCTTTATATACAGTTAGTTTTCATTCTCTTGGAACAACATTAAAGCTCAAATGTACTGAATGGATGGCAGAGCAGAGACATAGGTGAAAGGTGTATACACACACACATATACATATATATGTGTGTGTGTGTAAGTGTGCATATATATATATATATATATATATATCCCATCCAATCACTATATTGGAGCTTTATATTTTATTTATTTTGAGCAGAAACTCAAGAAACACAGACCTGACCTGAAGCTGCACAGCAGAGGATATTTTTCCCCCTTAGAGAATCCCCCTCTTTCTTTCTTTCTTTTTCTCTCTTTCTCTCTCACTTCTTCCCCCACACATTCCCATTCCCCATACAGAGAGAGAAAGGGAGGCAGACCCATACCCACACTTACTCCCAGCCTGCTGCTCTCTGCAGTTCTCAGGAAATGAATGGGGAGGGGGGGGGAGAAGGTGGAGGGGAGGGGGGTCCACACAGAGCCCTGTTGTACTTGCCAATGACTTACCCGGATCACATGATGATGGTGGTGGTGCTGATGAGGAGGAGGAGGAGGAGGAGGAGGATGAGGCTGGGCTCAGGGGCAGGGTGGGCCAAGGAAGAGGGGTGGAGGCTCCCGAAAGCAGGGGAGCCGCTCACCGGGGACGCGCTCGGGTTGCATTGGGGCCCCGCGGAGGGTGGGAGGGAGGAGGAGGAGGAGGAGGGAGGGGAGAAAGAGAGAGAGAGTGAGAGAGAGAGAGAGAGAGAAGAGAGAGAGAGAGAGAGAGAGAGAAGGGCTGGACTGGGCGGGGAAGGGAGGGAGGGGAGGGAGGGGAAGAAGGGAGGGGATGCGGCAGAGAGGCGGCTTCTCGCTCTCCTTGCCCTCAAGGTGGGAGGGAGGGAGGGGGCGAAGGAGGGAGGGAGGGGGCGACCCAAACAAAAGCCCTCCCCTGCTTTGCTCCACCTCCTTAAAAGTGAGAGATGCTGATGAGGATAGTCAACATAACAACAATAACAATCATATATAGCCCAAGGAAGGCAATGCTGTCTCTTTCTCTATGCCTGGCTGGGCTGCCTTGGGCAGGAATGGAAGCATCAAGAGAGAAGAAGGGAGGGAGGGAGGGGAAGGGAGAGAGAGGGGCGTCATCTGGCAGCCCCGCCCCTCGCGGAAGGAAGGAGGGAGGGAGGGGAGGAGGGCAGGGAACACCCCCCGAGGCGGAGGTGGGCTTGGAGCCCGGCCAGCAAGCAAGGCACCGGGAGGCAGGGCTCTCCTTCCTCCCTTCTCCCAACCCAGCCCCAACTGGGGTCTCTGCTCTCCCCCTCCCAACGGGGAGGGGATTCCTGGCAAGGGATCCAAAGGAATCAGGGAGGGAAAGGGGCATTGGCCGGACTGAGCAAGCGGCTAAAGGGGGTGGGGGTGGGGGTGGGAGAGAGGCACATCCCTTGTTGAAACCCGCCTCTCTCTCCCTATGTTAGAAGCATCTTCCGCGGGAAAAGAAAAAAGAAGGGGTGGGGATCAAGTCTGTGAGGTGAGAGACAGAACTGTCAAGGCGTGTGTGTATAAGTTTACATTGCATGCAAGAAGACCAGGCGGGGTTCAATCCCTGGCATCCCCAGGGTTGCCTCTCTCTCTATTGTAGAACATATGCACTTTGACACTCCTGGAACTGACAGAGCTTAACGCTATGGAATCAATATAGCAATGTTTTAATGTTTTATAATGTTGATTTTAAATGTTTTAATTTTATATCGCGGATTGTTATGGCATCTAAAATGGAAATGAGAGGAAAAAGGAAGAGGGGCTGACCAAGGGCAAGATGGATGGGTGGCATCCAGAGGTGGCCCTAGGTAATTTCCAACGGTAAGCAAACAGTATTTTAGCGCCGCCGCCCCCCCCGCCAACCAATCATTGATATATATTTTCTGTTCCTCGTGGGAGTTCTGTGTGCCATATTTGGTTCAATTCCATCACTGGTGGAGTTCAGAATGCTCTTTGATTGTAGGTGAACTATAAATCCCAGGAATTGCAACTCGCATATGTCAAGGTCTATTTTCCCCCAAGAGCGCCTCAAGAGTGCCCCTGGGCAAAATCAACTGTACTGCAAATGCTTACTTTGCGGAATGGATTGCCGAGGCTTCCCCCAGACTGCTAGGGCTGTTGTGAGCTGAGGGGGCGCTCCTCAAGTGGCGGTCGAGGGGCATTTACAGAGGCACCTCTGCACCCCTGGCAAAAAAAAGTGTACTGCGACCGCTTACTTTGCGTAATGGATGAGCCGCCCCTGGTGGCATCCTTGAAGTTGGCGGAGCCCCCGGTGGTTGGCGGAGCTGGGGGTGGCCACTGCTGACAGGGAGCTCTAACATAGGCTGGTCCATGAGGTCATGAAGAGTCGGAAGCAACTGAATGAATAAACAACAAAGTTCCAACTAAAGCAGACCCATTGAATCAATAGAATTTACATAATTGTTGGCTTACAAACTTCCTATTGATTCAGTGGGACTAATATTGAAAGTTCCTGTTGATTCCAATCGAGACTTAGTTACTTGGTTTTGTCCCTAGACTTTATCTTATTATTGCCTCCCCCAGTGGCACAGTGGGTTAAACCTTTGTGCTGGTAGAACTGAAGACTAACAGGTTGCAGGTTCGAATCCAGGGAGAGCATGGATGAGCTCCCTCTATCAGCTCTGGCTCCCCATACATGGGAGAAGCCTCCTACAAGGATGGTAAAACATCAAAACATCCCGGCATCCAGGCCTGTAGCGAGGGGGTGGTTTTAGGGGTTCAACCCCCCCCGAAATGTTTCATTTTTTTTAAAAAAAAACCTGGTTTACTCATGAATTTTAACTGGTTAACCAAATCCCCATGCTTAGTCTATGAGATGCAAAAAATTAAGAGTCCCTCCAGAACTGCAAGCACTATCTCAAGCAAATATTGACAATTTATTCACACTGTCATTACTTGCAACAATAGCCGATGTAGCGAAGCAACCAAGTTGGGGGGGGGGGAGT